CGGCAAGCCTACGCCCTCACGGAAAGGTAGAGATGACGAAAAAGCATCAGTAGCTCACCGAAATTCGTGTTGCGGTGACGGTTGAGGCAATGAAAAGCTGAGGTGGTCTAGCCACGTGCGCCTGGGCACGGCAGCGACGCCTCGAGCCGAACACCGACGCGTCACCACATCACCGACGGGTTCCCTAGCCAAAATAGTGCGAGCACCGGATATAGTGAGTCAAGGCGAGTTCAGGGTCACGACCAATTGAACTGTTACCACTCCTACGGGCCTTACCCCCAACACTCTGGTCACGACGGTGCACATGACCGGCGGTGAGGAGAAACCAAAATTGACCACTGACAGGCCAAGGCTGGGCTCGATGAGAATGCGATACCTTGCTAACTTGCTAAGCTACCCACCGGTGTGAGGAATTGGACTAGGAAGCCGCTGGCGCTAGGAGGAAGGAAGGAGCGGTGGCTCAGCACACCGTGCGGTCATGGAGAGGGCACACAAGTGAACCTGAGCAAGTTAAGATGGGTGGCTCCGCTCAATGGTGGCAGCAATACGAACCTGTGCGTACGGATGATGAGACCTCGAGGCTTGGCATGAAGCACTCGGAATGGCATGGCCAGACCCGAGCGGGCACATCGGCGTCGGCTAGCGGGGACAAGCACGGTAGAGGGACATCACCATCACCCCTGCGACCGAGGGCATTGGCCCAGACGCAGCGGCCTTGACACCTGACCAGAGCCTCGATGCGGTAGGTGAAACGAGGGGTGAGGCGGACACCACGTCAGTCACGCGGCAGCTATCGCGGCATCGGCTTGGCCAGCGCACGGCCTGGCCGGCAGCGCGCACGCGACGGCCACGCCGCAGCAGCCCTGCGACGCGGACCGGGCCCGCAGAGGTGGCCGAGGCCAATCTCAGCCCGACGCGCAGCCGGCAGCCCGCAAGGCCGGCCACGGACACGACCATGGCCAAGAACGGCCAGGTAGCGACAGCATGCGCGCGTGGTGACTGTAGACACGGGCCGCGCAACGACGAGCAGTGACGTGCACGGATTTTAAAGCAAAGCAAAAGCTGCTGATTAACTCGACTAAGGTTCAACCAGTTCCACTGACCTAAAGCCAACCATACCAACTATCTAGCAGAGCAATCGCCATGATCCGAGAGCAACTAGATAAGTCGCTAAAAGAGTGCCAACATAGACTCGTCACTGAAGTACCGGTTCACGAACATGACACTAACGATATGGTTCACAGCGTGTTCCAACGCAGTTTGATACCAAGCTCATGTACTCACTTTGATGCAATCAACAATACCAAAACATGCGGCTAGTGTTTAAACAATTTAGTTAGGATTTGAATGACAACACGGCATTGTCTACTTCCATTCAGTATTAGAAAGTCAAAAGTTCAGCTCGAACTAAACATCCATTAATACTTTTGCCATAATTTTTAAAATGTCTAAACCTTATTAACTTCAACCAAGTATTTCACACAATAGTCTATACCTTATACTGACCCATAGGAGCAAAATATTTAATCACTCTTTAATTATTTCGCTCAATATAATTCATCAAAAATGACACTTTAACTACAATTTCGACTTCTTCCTAATTCAATGAGAAGTTCTATTTAAATTTTGGATTCGATTTTTGAACTCCCAAACACTAGTTAACAATATTTATTTTCCAAAAGTTAAAGTTGTATTTCTATCTACCAAACTTACTTCAATTTTTATTTAAGTACTAAATACAAGTTATGTTTTATTTTTGTTCATAGAAATTATTTTTCGTGCCAAACAATTAAAACGACTTACCCTACGTTTCTCGTTAGGATTTTCATTAGCACTTTTGCGCACCAAGTAAGTTAACTTGGATATTTATTTGAGTCCACTAAAGTAAATCACATAGTATTCACTTATCATTTCACGTACGGTATAAATTTTTAAAACCCGAAAACTTGTTAGGCTAATCCCTCTCGGACCTAAATCTCGGTGCTAAGTAAGCTCATAATACCAGAAGTGTTACACTCAGTAGCATCTCAGGTCCTTATTTTGATCCCTGTGGGAGCAATTTTTTTCAGATTTAATGGCGTTGTGCTTTTAGTGATAGCGACGCTCTCGTCGATAGCGAGAGTTGAGATTTGAGTGCGTGCATTCGTAGAGATGAGTATGCGTGCATTGTGAGTGTCTGCTTTGAACCGTGTAATCGCAAAAAAGGTTGAAACATGATGAAGGTTTTTTCTTGATATTTTAATTCAGAAGAGGTTCTAAAGAAGACTATACATACTCGTGTCGATAACAACGTATCAATCGGATATTATTACGAGAAGAAATACTTGTATGACCCTAGAAAAAGTTTGCCTTCTTTGTATGACCTCTTTTTTTCGAACTTACCCCAAAACGATTTTCATTGCCTTCTTCCGTCAAGTCTGTTGGCTTCCACCGTTGCTTCTCTCCTGTAAGCTACGCCAAATGTCTAAACTGACCCCTACTTGTTTCTTGTAATTTCCGGCCGTGGCTGCAGTGCGCGACGGCCGTGACTGCAGCCGCCCCTACGTCGTGCTCAACTACTTCAGTCTCCTTTGGACGGCTCGCCCATGCTCCTCTTCCCCAGCGAAAAGTTCAGAAAAAAGAGGTCCTACAAGGAAGCTGTAGTTTTTCGGAGGCCATGCATGTAATTATCTCTATTATAATTTATTTACACATCTATTCATTGGTACTCTCGTCATTGTTGATGACAAGCAAGGGGCCAATCTAGCCTTTGCTATTAGGGGTTGCGCCACGCTGCCACGAACTTCGGCAAAAACCAGTGAAGAATTACAATAATCACTATTCATCAATAGTGCTGACTCCTTTGTGCTAATGTGATAACTCTTGACTCTGATGTGTTTTGCATTGGTATATTGAACCTTCCCTCGGCCAGTCAGCCCTTTGATGCGAACATAGTGCTCGAATTTTTGGTAGGATCGCGGGGTTCGGATGGCATTCGTGGATGTGAGAAGCAAAAGCAAGAACTTGGCACGAGCCTTTGTTCTTGGGCTCTCCACCGGACGTAGGGTGGGACATAATGAACCAAACTGACCTAAGGAACTATGACTAAAAACCGGTTTCCTGTTCGATTCCGAATATTATGGAACCAAAATAACCAAAGAAAGTTTGATTACCATTGTATTGCTATTGTTCTCTTATCGATTGTTATTATCTGAAATAGTGGTAGCGTTGCCCAAAATTACTTTAGAGTTACATATATTTTTTTGTTGTCTTAACTCTTAACCTCTACTGAAAAAGTCCGGTTAGAATCCGACACGCACCCAAAATAATCGAAAATTGAAACGCTTGATTCCTAAAATTTTCTAGAAATTGGTTCCCGTTTTCTAGAAATTAAATTTCTTAAGAACCAAATAACCGAATAGAAATCGAACAAAAACCGAATGCCCAGTCCTACTCCGGATGTACCACTGCCCTAGCGGTGTAACCATCGAACGAAGGTCGTATACCTGCCAATCACAGGAAGGAAAACCTTTTCCAAACCAATGCATACGGCATACCAGCTGCCATTTGCAGTCGCGGCAGCGTGCCGAGACCGCACGCAGAAAAGTCAGGCGCCGGGCACTGTGCTTCGAGACCCGGTCCAGCCGTCCGCCTCACGCTCACGGACGGTCACGGAAGACGGAAGGCGAACAGCACACAATCCTCTCACCAATTCCACGCCACGCGGATCCGGCCGGTGCGTTACGATACGACTCCGTGCCACCACAGCCGTTTGGGAGTTCTTCCACTCCTGTTCCGGCAATCATGTCAGGGTCCATAACGACACCGGTGGACCGGCCAGTTTCGAGACAGCTACACCCGTTGTACTTTCTGTAAGGTCCAGCGCTACTGTCTCCATCCTGAACAAATGATTCCTCAACATCTTCTAAAGGAAAAAATCTATGAACATTTCGGCAGCTGAGTAACATAATGCATGATCAAGTTTGGAAAAAGAGTAGGGCAGTACGGGGCTGCCGGCAGCAGGGAATGTGCTTCGGAGGAATCTAGGTTATCTTTTTTCCCTGAAAAAAAAAACTGGACCAACCTAGGGGCAACTAGATCGCCCGGTGTATAGGTGTCAATTTGACGTGACGTTGTATCGTGTAAGTACAACAATTTGACTACAACTGAAGTACAACCATGCACCTAAACCGTTATCATCCATGTGATTTTAACAGTTGGAATCTTGAGTGATCCTGCTTGAACAAAACGAAAGATATTATCGATGAATAAAAGCACGTCTTGCTTATTAACATCTTGGAAATATTCTGCCATAGTTAGGGCAGTTAAACCAACTCTCATACAAGCTCCCGGCGCTCTCTTTTTACTGAGAAATGCAAAAAAGAAAAAAAGAAGGGTGCCCCATAGAAGAAGGGTTTTTCATCAAAATTAAAAAAAAACTAGATGACTTTATTATATAAGAAAGATATTTGATCAAATTTGCCTCAACAATAACTCAGACTTGGGTGGTGTATGTGTACCACCCCAATCAGCTCAGTTGCTATAATCCAGGTTATCTTGGCATGATGGTCAGGTGAATTCCCCATCCTAACGCTAGCAGCAGCAGGAAGCTTGGTGTCTTCACCATGGATGAACCACCTAGAAAAGAAGATGCATATCATGGTGAGAATTCGTCAGATCCAAAATAGGCTCATCAGTATCTGTCCACAGAAATATCAATACAAAAGACTCCATTCTATAATAGCGCTTTTATCAAAAAAATAATAGCGCTTTTATGCATACATGGAATCAGCAACTTATTATGCCAGGGCAGTACCAGAGGAACACAATTTAACCATAGTCATGGCTTAGTAGTAAGATCATTGATGTAGTAGACGAGAAATACAGGCATGGTTTAGCATGGCCAGTGTACTTACTGAATAATAGGTATTTATTCTGAATATTCCACTCGAAGTCCCAATGGATCATGTCATTCTTAAGTGTCCAGTATGACCACCCAAAGGTAGCGTTGGCATAAACATCTAACTGAACTGAGCTCTGCCAAACTTCTGATACTCATACTGAGATGCATTTTGCACGTCCCATTCATTAACCCATTCACCTGAACATAGGGACATAGCACCATGTTCAGTACAAATCAGGATGATGTGTGCTAGTACATGACTTTGGAAATAATCAAGTAGGACTGGAACAAAATAAACAGAACAATAGGGTTTTATCAAAAAAAAACAGAACAATTGGGTCTGTTGATAGTTTGGCGCACATGTTTCAACTTTCAAGTGACCGCTATCCATCAGAGCCAGAAAGAAAAAGGTAGAAAGTGTAATGACTAACGGGTCCCAACTCCAGCATTTAAAAAATAAGATGGAACCAATAAAGGACAATAGTATGTAGGGACTCTATTAATTTGAAGAAGGGCCGGCAAAGCAGAACTATTGTAAAAACGTAAGTAGGGTATTAAACATACCAATGAAGACAAGAGGCCCATTCATTGCCTTAAGGTCTTGTAACTGCGGTGCTCTCATCTTGTAAATAAATTCAATATTCTGAGTGGAATTCATGGTGGCAAAGTATGGATCAAACAAGTTGTAGTAGTGTAAATCAACTACAACATTTGAAAGACCAATACCAGCTTGGAAGAGTTCGATTGGGTCTGCATTCCCAATTCTTTGACACAGAATAACATATGCAGTTGATGAATGGTTTCACACAATTTGATATCCCCTCGTATAGTAGGACACTAGAACATCTAAAGGAACTGTAGCTGCAGAAGGTTCGTTCAGAAGCTCAATATCCAAAAGGGAAGGATGGCCTCCGTACCTGCAAAGCACAAGTCCAGGAAACCCGCCTATAACATTTCAAGGACAGACCGGGATATCTAAGAACATCAGAAGCTACTAGCAAATACAGTTTTCATGTTCAGTGAGAGGAGATGCAATTGCTGACATATTTTGATGGTGGAGAACCAGCTCAGGAGAAATGCAGGTAATTACCATTCGAACGGTTTAAGATGAAATGCTAGGTGAACGAATACCTTGTCGCCAGGAAGTCAATAACCTCCAATGTTTGTGAGATATATTCAGGCGAGGGCCAGTCCACGGAACCATCCCTGCTCGCACTATGTTCCATTCCATTTTGAGAACCAGGAGCAGCATGAAGATCGATTATACATTTCAAACTATAAGATCTAATCCAACAGAAGTAACTATAGCATCAGGAAAGATCAGGGATATCAAACACTGCAAAGAAGAGTTTGGAAGCATGACATACTGTGCCCATGAAAATGCTAGGTCCAGGGCTGCCAAAGACCCTCCAACAAATGGAGAAGGTGGATAAGGATCTTGTGTTATCCACCATCCAACAGGAATTCTCACAGTATTAATTCCGTTCCAAGATAGGAAATCAAAGTCGTTTGCTGTAATGAAACTTCTTCTGTGCTCCTTAAAAAGCAAAAGGAAGAGTCAAGGGATGTTATGCATAAAGCAAGAAATGAGTGCCCAATGACATACTTCTAAAACCATCTTCGCCTTGTCATAACCATAACCATTGGCAAGCTGGTAGTCCCCATGCAAGTTATTGGCAACAATCACCAATTCAAACGTCGCTAAATTCTTATCCCATCCTGGTTGGAATTGATAAGTGGAAATAAGCAGATGATTGTTTGTCGCCTAAGTTAAAAGGAGATTGCAATGTCTTGTTAATGGCACAACTTGCATGAAGGCGACTAAGGGACAATCACATATAACACTTTGAAATTATCGAAATCAAACCATGGACCGAACAATACTTGCACATAGCCTCCATTCAAAAGTCTGATATGAACCCTTCCAGCATTCCTTTCAATGAAGAAAGTCTCGGTGGACAATGGATGCTTTGCAGTTGCCAAGATCAAACCATCTTCACTGTTCGATGTCAAAAATTGACCTCCAAGGCATCGAAGCTGAAATTCATTATCTGACACCCTCCAAAGCTGTTTAAAAAGGAAAACCAGTAAGGCCATATTTAAGCTCAACCACTAAGCGGAATGACAATTAGAAAACCAAAAGGTGCAGGTAAATAATAGAATTATACCAATTCAATGACTTGCAGTTGCTTCAATGCTAACCATATTGCAAAAAATAATAAAATGGTAATGAACATATATTCTAACTATAAAGGGAGAAAAAACTGTTAAGCTATAGATGTCTCATATTTGTTCACGGCAATCCTACATGTGAATTGGCGCTAAAATTGCTTTGGAAGCGCATGACTGTTGACTGTACAAACATTTTGACCACACGACACAAAATATATCAGCAGTCCTTCACCTATGCAATTCAGTGTTCAATTAAACTTTACAGTGGTTCAAATCATCATTAATTTCTTGTAATGTGATAGATCCTAATGTGAAACTGCAGTGGCCATTGGTTTAACCATAACAAGAACTAAAGAACAACAGTTCATGATAACTGGTCAAACCAAGTCAGAAAAGGAATATTAGCATATAGCAGAAAAATTGTATCCAGTGGCAGAACGTGGAGTGAAATTAAGGGCTAGTCTATTACAACATACTTAAGTTCATAGCAAGAGAGGGATAACTAGAATTTAGCTTGTACTTAAGTAGTTCTTGAAGCTTTACCCTATTGTAAAGTCTAAACAAAACAGTAATACCAATACGCTTCTTACTTCTTTGAAATCAGACTAATAATTTGAGATACTACCATAGCTGGAATAACGCAGAGGATTATCCCTCTGTAAAACACAAACCAGCAGACTAATACTTCTTTGAAATGAAACTAAAACATTCCATGTACTCTCACCCTGAATGTCTCCCACGTTGAGGCCACATCACGGTCCACTGTCACATTTGAGCCACCACCATTAGCCGCACTAACATACTTATTCAATACCACTGAGCAGATCTGCACCTGTGTCCCATCCTGCAAATATAACCCTATAGAGGATCAAACCCTATAGAGGATCAAACCCATGCAAGCATCAGTTTACCAAGAACACACAGTGAATAACTAAGATCAATCCACCTACAAGCATATCCCCATTTGGAATCCCGTCAAAAAGTGATGGCTTAATCCACCCTTCAATGACCAACCATCCTCCCAAGTTAACACCCCTGACCTTAGACAGTCCATTCACTGCAGAAAAAAACAGCCACTTACTGTGTTATGCAAAACTTTTGCTGAGAACACCGTACAACCTAAGACTGGCAGCTTGGTTACCATTTTTAAAAAGAAATCTCTGAACTGTAAAATTTTCAGTAAATTTTACTAACTACTTTCTTCAATAGTACAAAGGTACATTTAACTCAGTTAGCTAACCAATATCAACAGTCTCTACAGCAAATTGCATAATTCAGTTCAAATTTCTTTTAAAAATATGCATAAGTAGATTCGCTAAAAGTATATTAAAAAAACTGTATGCGAATACAGTGCAATTCTTCAATCATCAATATATTTTTGTCCTTGTCCATGCAGAATTGCAACACATTCATATGTATAGCATAATGGATTATTTGCATTTTGCACTAACATCTACTGATTGGAGTGTACTATTTCCCTGAAATTAGATCAGCATAGAATCTTTCTTCCCAAAAGACAAAACTCATCAGAACTCTAAAGTGCACGATCAAGCATCTCACCTGGGAAGATGCAGGACAAGAAAAGAACCCCAGAAGACAGCACGAAGGCAGAGACAACAAGACCACCCATGCCGGTGCCCTACCACCGCGCGGGACCAGAGCCTCAGCCACGGGAGGAAGAAGCTATTAAGGCCCCCGAGGGTTCGGGTGCCTTCCTTGCCGCGGAGTTTATCCCAAGGCGCCCGCCGCAAGGCCGTACTGGCGCAGGCGGTCGCCATTGGCAATTAAGGAATGGAATTAACGCTTGCTGCTTGCCTCGTCGGGGAGTGGTAGGAATCCACGAAAAGGAAAGGTTCCGGGCGATTTTTTAGTCGCGAGGTCGCTCCTCGCGCCCGACGGTGGCAGGAGAGAGCGTCCGTGAGACCGTGACAGTTGGGGTGGAGGTAGATGCTCCCCGGAGACGACGGCTTTGACGACGCCGATGCGTGATTTTTTTTTTTTTTTTTTTTTTTTTTGAGGAAAACGCCGATGCGTGATGCAAAGAGTTGGGCAGGACGAGGCCGCGAGTCAGTGACGAATCGGGCCTCAAGAGATACTAAATGTAGGTAGGTGGGCTGGGTAAGCCCACTCTATGCATAATTTCGGCCTGACAGCCCACCTGACCAGACGAGACCAGCCCAGCAAAACCAGGTCAGCTCATCCTCGCATCGCATGCAGGTTCTCAGCCTCCCCAATTCCTCGACACCGCCGCCCCATCCCAGCCCCTTTGCCCGGCGCCACTCGCCTTCCGCGCCCCTCCGGCAGCGCTTATCCCGGGTTCTGTCCGCCCTGCCGTGCCGTGCCGCGGGCGCAAGCGACGTCACTTCTTCTGAATTCTCAGGTTATGTTCTGACCCGATCCCATTCCACCTATGTTTGTTGTATTTATTTTGTGCGGATTCTGGTTCGCCTGATTGTACTCATTCATCGGGAGATCGGGTGCTGCGGGAGCAGTTATCCGGTTATATTGCGTGTTGGGCGGGAGACCGGGAGCCTGATTTTGCTGCCCTTGAACTTAGATGAACCTCGCAACTGTGGGCTAATAAAATTGTGAAATTTTCTGTGTGCGTAACGATTTTCACTGTAGGAGTTTAGTTTGGTGGATTGCTCATGGATATTGGATGACATTGGTTTTTTACTTTTATTTAATGCTGCTTGTAGCTTATTTCTACTTGATTTATTTAGGTAAGCGAGTAGTCCCTCTGCTCAAACTATAGTTCACTTTGGCCAAGTTTATAGAAAAAATGCATTGACATGCACAATATCAAATTGCTTTCATTAAATTCTCCATGGAATATGTGATGATAATGCGTTTATTTGAACTTATAAGTGTTGATACATTTTTTCTAAAATCGGTCAAAGTTAGAGAAGTTTGATTTTGGACAAAGCTAAAGTGAATTATAATTTGGAGCAGATGGAGTATCTAATAGGAAGAACAGCTCTGCATTTATTCTTACATGGAAAAAACACCTTGACTTCAATGAAATTATTTGGAACGGATGGAGTATCTAATGTAGCAACTTGTAAGATGGTCTGAAGTGTAGTTTCGTGAAATTGTCTGCATGTTATTATGCAATAAATGAAGATTAATTGATGCAAATTGGAAAACCATCATTTTGAAACTATTGTCCTTTACTTTCTAGTTTGTTGAAGCACTCAACTTCAATGAATGAATATGCAATTCACTGGACCTACAAGGATAGACCTTGCTAGTTTTAGCTTGAGCAAGTTTTGATCATCCTTTTGGTGCCATATTTTGTTCCTTATGTAAGTCGCATAGTCATAAGTCATTTGAGCGTATAATTATGTGCATATTTTTTTAGTTCTTAACTCCCTTTTCTTTTCTAACAAGGGACTGTTTTTTCTGTTAAATTTGCAAATAGTAACACTACTTTCACTAATTCAGATTGCTGAGAAAGAAGAGGAACACCCTACATGGATGTCATGCAGACAAGTGACTCTTCACATCATGGAATTGTAGAAAATAGCCCATATAGAATCCCTTATGGAAGACATGCAGGTGGTGGCAAACTTGGTAATTCATGGTATTTTAGTAGAAAAGAAATAGAAGAAAACTCCGTTTCAAGGAAAGATGGCATTGATCTGAAGAAGGAGTCTTATTTTCGCAAGGCATACTGCACTTTTCTGCAGGATTTTGGGATGAGGCTTCAAGTGTAAGTTTGCATTCTACCACAAATGTTTTACCATTACTTGTATTCCCTAGTGCAAGCGGTAGAGTCTTACCGCCTGTGACCGGAAGGTCCCGGGTTCGAGTCGCAGTCTCCTCGCATTGCACAGGCGAGGGTAAGGCTTGCCACTAACACCCTTCCCCAGACCCCGCACAAAGCGGGAGCTCTCTGCACTGGGTACGCCCTTTTTTGTATTCCCTAGTGAGGGAGCACAGAAGTTAAATATGTATGATACATAAAATGATTTTCTAGTGGTAAGCAATCAAACATTTTGATAAGCCAGCTACTCAAGTGGCAATTTAATCATTTGTTTTCCCACTGCATTGAATGAGCTGTCTGGTTTCTGCTAGTACTTATTACAAATCATACTGAACCCTAGTACTTATTTAATCATGTAGCATCTGCCCTATTTGCTGTAGTTTATGAATTCTTTAGATTATATGCTCTCGTTCTAATTGGTACCTTTATATATGTAACTTTGCCCTTCTGAAACAATTTTTTAAAAAAAAATTAGGCCTCAAGTTACGATTGCTACAGCTATAGTGTTCTGTCATCGTTTTTTCCTTCGCCAATCTCATGCAAAAAATGACAGGCAGGTACGTCTTACTGAAAATGACATGACCTTTTGTGGAACATTTTATTTCATCGTGTTTTGGTATTATTTGTGAAGTGATACTCAGCACTTATCATTCAAATAATTGTCCTTCACCTGTCAATCACTTTGTTTACATGGTAGTTTGTGCTACCATAGCATGTGGTAAGTTATCATTGTGTTCTTTTCTGTTACCCCCATTTTTCGAAGATGCAATGTTTTTTTTCCCCACATGTAGGTCATACCTTTAATTCTTTACTTGCTAGTATAAAAGACAGGTGTTGGTAGTTGTTATGGTGATATAGGTTACAACTTAAACCTTTGCAGATTTTCTATGGACTGTTCTCTTTGTGCATATGCGTACTGCATGATACCCTGTGGAGGATAGACTACCAGCACACAGCAGTATCATTTTTAGGATATTCACCTATTTAAGATCTGTTGTAACGCACTGGCACCTGTTTCTTTTTCATGTGCTGAAAGTTGTTTCCTCATATGCATAACAAAATTAAGTTGGTTGACAGTAATCCTTTTATATTTTGTAGTTTACAATCTCATGCCACAGTGCTTGCTTCTTGCTAGGGATAATGATTTTTCATCGATTGTTAATTTAAACTTACAATATGTATTCTTTGTTAATTGTTATATCATGCAGACAATTGCAACAGTTTGTATGTTCTTGGCGGGAAAAGTTGAAGAAACCGTCAGACCTCTAAGGGATGTCGTAGTCCTTTCCTATGAGATCATCAACAAAAAGGATCCTGCCGCTTTTCAGCGAATTAGGCAGAAGGTGAGATAGTTGAATTGATTGAGATGATTCATCTAGAGTATTTATTTTTGGGTAATCAGTAATCTTATTTTTTTCAGCCAACAGTTTTTACCAGTGAACAGTTCCTCTTAAGCCACTATTCACCAATCATGATGTTTTTTTCAATAAGATGGGACTGATCTATTTAATGCAACTTTATTTCCTAATTACTTTGTCATAGATGGTAACTGTGGTTGCCTGTGTTTTGTTTTGTTCAGGAAGTATATGAACAACAGAAGGAACTTATTTTACTTGGGGAACGTGTTGTTCTTGTAACACTTGGTTTTGACTTGAACATCCAACATCCGTACGAGCCCTTGGTCGAAGCAATAGGTAGATTCAAGGTTGCTCAAAGTGCACTTGCTCAAGTTGCCTGGAACTTTGTCAACGATGGGTATGCTAAAATTACTCATCTTGTTACAAAGAGTAATCCTCAAATATACCTATTTACAACGCCTTAAAAGGGGTGTACAGGCTCCGTACTTCACTTTGCCTTCAATTTAAGCCCCACCAAATTGCTGCTGGTGCAATATTCATGGCTGCGAAATTTCTCAAAATCAAGCTTCCATCAGGTGGTCAGAAGGTCTGGTGGCAAGAGTTTGATGTTACCCCACGGCACTTGGAAGGTTGGTCTCGGAATGGAAATTCAGTAGGGCAATACCTGCACTGCACTAAGATGGTATTCATTTTTCATGGGGGCTTATATTATGCATCACCTTTAGTTGCAGCTGTAGTTGCTGCTTGTTAGCTATCTTGAGATCTCATAGATTGACACCCAAATATGGTGCTCAAAATGATTGTGGAGCTAGGTTAGGTTGAAGCATGTCCTACACCGCATAGGGATCTCTTGACTTTTTTTATCATATAATGGAATGCATATGGATTGCATGGCTACTACTAGTATCGAACCAGATATATTTTTGCTAGCAATATTTTTTAGTACAACTGTCTTGTTAGACATTGTCACTTGTTCAGATTTATTATAGCTAGTTTCTACCATCGATGCCTCTTTTGGTTCTTTATTTTTCTTCAATATATCTCATTTATGCTATCTTCGTTTCCTTTTGGTTCTTCTAATATTACTTTTGATGCTCATGATGTCAAGAAGACACGCTGACAGTACGTATTTATGGTATTTCTTTTTTCAGAGATTAGCAACCAAATTTTGGAGCTCTACGAGCAAAATATTGTTGCGCCACCACCATTGCAAGGAAATGATACTGAAAGGAGCCCTGCTAGTGTTCCTAATCAACGTGCTCCTGGAAAAGCTCCTACTGCCCATGAACCTCAAGCATCCAGACAATTGAGCCATCAAAATGTGCCAGGCCACCATAGCTATGACCATGCCCATCCTGAGAAGCAACACCCGAGGACACCTCAGAATGAAGCAAGGGATAGCGTTGTCAATAGCAACGATGGCCCCAAAATATCATCCTCAATGATGGATGCAATGAGGAAGATAGACAAGGATAAAGTGAAAGCAGCCCTGGAGAAGCGGAGGAAATCTAAAGGTGATGTTCCTAGAAAGGTTGACATCATGGATGATGATGATCTGATCGAGAGGGAGCTGGAACATGGTGTGGAGTTGGCTGCTGAAGGTGAGAAGATCAAGCAGGAGAGAAGGCAAAGCTGGCCCCATCCTGCACACAGGGAGGATTCACTAAAGGCTGTTTGCATGATCAAAAATACGGAGGAGGGCGAGCTGTCCACTGACAGGCAAGGGCACTGCTCCCCAGACCGGAACTGGAACTACGATCGTGGTGAAAGGGACATTAAAAGGCTAAGGTCATGAAGGTTGGACTCCCTTTTGGCTAGTTGTTGGCAGAGGGTATTCATGTGGCTTAGGACTACATGACGTGGAACCTATTTTCACAGTTGGGGTATCAAATAAGCATCAAGCTCATTCAGTATGGCGGGTGCCTTGAAACGCAATACATGGTGTGTGAGAGATGGTTTACAAATGAAGCCACAACCTACTGGTTAACGCTGCAAGGCCGAGCGGAGACGGCCTTCAGGTCATGGGTTCCAGTCTTTGGAGCTACAGAATTTTAGCTGCCCCAACTTGATTTGGGAATAAAAGACATTGTTGTGGCTTACCCCAACTTGCTCGGGAATAAAAGGCATTTTGTGGACTACCCCAACTTGTTGATGTTTGAGAAATGGTTTCTCCGGGGTAGTTTATAACATATGTTGACTCTTTTAGAGTCATTTGGCAATAAAATAATGCGGCCTATTTATGGTAAAGAGGCTGCATCAGAGGGTCATCATTGCGTCACAAATTGATTCGTGGGGTTTACTTACATCTGAGAAGGCTGCTAAGCTAGCTGTTTGTGGTATGGGTATTGGTCAGCTTTTAATAAGCCCATGTTTTGGATACAAGGTTCTCTTCAGAGTTTACTTTTGGTTTTGTATGCATACATATGGTGAAAGGAAAAGTATATGGATAACTAAACAACTAAGTCACAAACGGGAGTTTAACCTATATGATGGATTGTTACCTTCATAACGATGCTTAATGATGTGTCACTCTGGCAGTCGGCACTCGTGAAAACTTTCATAACGGTGCTCAATTATGTGACAACATTTTGTCACTCGGGGGTAGGCACACATATGAAAGCTTTATGTATTGTACATTCTTATAAGGAGTTACACGGTCAAACAACCAATTGAAAAAGTCTATTTAATCTCACTCAATTTTGATCAAAGTCTGATTTGCCTCCCCAATTAGAAAGTTTTGAAGCGGTTTTGGCTAATGTTGTGCCACGTTAGTTGTCGCACTACATTAGCCACGACCACGAGGTAGGTAAACCGGACTACGTTGATAGTCCAGAAGATCAATTAGACTTTATTAAAAAATAAAGATATAATTTTTCAAAAAAAATATAGCCATTTTTAAAAAAAAATATGCAATTATAAATCCTAAAGTTAGATATATTTAATCTTAGAAAAATCTTTAAATAAATGTTGTAGCTCAAAATATTCTTTACATATGTTCTATGTCTCCTTTTAATGTTTACTCCCTCCGTCCTCAAATATAAGGTATTGAAGCATTTAAAATTATCTCAAATCATAAGATATTTTAGGTGAATTAACTCTCCTAAAACACTAATCAATATGTACCTACCATCAGTGTCTCTATCTCTAGGTTGAGTGTGATAAGAACAAGATCTCTACACTTAATGGAGTGTTACATGCAAATTTGTGTTACCCAAAATCTATCCTAAAATTCGTAAGATAACTTATTTCATGACAGAAGGAGGTTATTAGTAGATGCTCACATTAAGATAACTTATATTCCAAGATAGAGGGAGGTTGTTAGTAGATGCTCACATTATCTATCTAACCAATCTACGTTGGACCCAACCATATAGAGTTCAGCTGACTTTGGTGACAACACATATGTCATGTGACCATCTCATATTCAATTTACTTCCCTTGTGACTTACGTGGCACCAGATATAGGATGACTCTCCTGGCGCCACGTCGGCTAAAACCACCTTAGGGAGAAAATTTGAATGGTTTCAAATTTTGAAGGAGTCCAGAAAACCAAATTTCTAATTAGAGGAGGCAAATATGACTTGGACGAAAGTTTTGCTTCATTAAATGTGTATAAGGCGGGCTTCTAGGCATCAACAATTCATAGGCCCATAGCACAATTAGCTTCTAAGGGCTAGTTTGCTAGGATGCCGACTCCTCCCTCGGTTCTTATATCCTCTTCTGGAGCAGTTTTTTGGTAGAGGTGAAACTGTTTTGAAAATATTTAGCAAAAACAGATATAAGCAACAATTTTGTAATAATTTATGCCAAGTTTGTGAGTAGCCGGAAGAAGCCATATTTTCATGGCTCTGGCTCTGCAGTACAAAAATAACTCTAGCTCCTTAGGGCTCCTTGCAGAGAGTTATTTTTTAAGTGACCGCTTGGCACGACGCTACGGTAATAACTAATAATCATAAGAAGCCGGAGTTGTGCCAGATGACCCTTAAATTTAGGCCCAGTATCCGGAAGGAATTTCTTTTGGCAAAATTCGTGGCAAGAGACTAGACTCGTAGCAGCACATGCTACATCGACGAAGGAAAGTAGCCCAGCAACAAACCCAACTGCTCCTACGACCTGTATAGTGTATACCAAACCAAGAGCAACCCTACCCGTCCCGTTCATGTTAGGTTACTGACCAACCGGATGGAAGATCGACATCTACTGTTAGCTTGTTCTCCATGCTTGGTCCTCTAATACTCCTGGATAAGAACCCCACCCAAAAGCACCGGAATGTTCATCCCATTGCCGGCCTTCAGATCACGGTCCAAATCGATCTTATTGCACGTCACTTACCTGCAAACTTTCATGTCACATCTACCTCATCAAAACTCCTGGAGAGGTCATTAACTTAACCCAAGCAGATGACCAACGATTAAGGCTGCCACTCACCAAATACGACACTGTTGTCAGGCCCAGGCACCCATCTGCCGAGATAACTACAGCAGAAGAGCTATTTACGTGTATAATCTATATTTAACTATTTTCGGATAAAAGAGAGAGTCCAACGGCTATTGTATCTGGTTTTCTAAAATAGCAAGTAATGTATCCCGGAATTTTCGCATGCTAGATATAGCTTGCATGTGCCGCTAGCCATTCACCTCACCCTATTGGAAAGGCTGTTAGAGTTTTCTATTTTTTTTGCTAGGGTTTTTATTTTAGAGGTTGGTTAAATCATGAGTTTAGCCATCTATTTTTACCAACTCCGTTGGAGTTGCTCTTAGCACCTGTTTCTTTAGACCTGAGTACAAATGATATGAAGGGCTATTAAGATCACAAAAAATGTTTGATCCCGTCGTACAAGGATTGGCCTGCGCTCCTACTAATTTTGTAAGGAGTTAAATACACTGGCGGTCCTTAAACTTCTGACTCTATGCTACTTATATCCACGAACTTTCAAAACCAATATCGCCCAAGGAAAAATGAACTTGTTAAGTGAATTTTAGCACTTTCGCAGAAGTCCATACCCCTTCGAGAGGTGCTTACTAGCAATCACATTACATCTCAGGAAAACATTTTTTAATTCAATATATTAGACTTCAGAGGCAATAAGCTTCGTTGAAGTTTCTAGGGATTGGCCCAATCCTTTGTTTCGTATAAGCTTGCTCAGAACGATCGTAAATTTCATCAGGGCAAGCAAAAATAGAGTTTTTTTCAAATGGCACAAGAATTGAATAACATTTCATTAATAAAGTGTTTTTCTCTCACACCAAACCACAGCAAAGAATAATCCACGACACGATCGGCCTCCTAATTTAATTCAGATTTTTTTTTGCAAAACCACCCGTCATAGTTATCTTCTACCTCTAGTTATCCTTGTTTCAGCCAGCTGCGCGCGAGGATGGTGAAGCTCCACCGATGCCGAGGGGCCACCGGTGCGGTGGCAGGCCAACCTCCCGAATGCGAATGAGATGGTTTTGCGCCGTCCAGGCTCATCGCCGAGGAGAACGACGTCGGGGATCGTGGAGGTGGACGACGGCTCGCGAGGGCGCGCGGAGCGCGCGTGGCAAATTGCCGCCACTACTCGGGACGTCCACAAACGTCGCCGTCTTTCAAGAAAGTTAGATGAGCCGAAAGCCGCACGCCGGCGAAGTCCGAGCTATGCCACAATGTCTCATCGATGCCGTCGTCGCTGACGGACGCGAGCGTGCGGACGCTGAGCGGCCGGTTCGACGACGCGTCCTTCACCTCCGCGTCCGAGCCGATGATGCCGATGCCAAGCTGGCGCAAGACGTGGCCCGCGGACCTGCCGTTCTTCCCGAGCTACGTGGCCAACATGACAACATGGAGTTGTCAAAGCCGCACGGAGGGCAAGGCCAAATTAGAGCGCACAAACTAAGCAAAGTGACTAACAAGGAAGCGGTGCCACTACTCGATGTCAACGACGTCGAGCTGCATGGAGAGACGAAGTCCAAGCTGTGCCACAATGTCTCGCCGACGCCATCGTCGCTGACGGACGCAAGGCTGACGGACGTGAGCACGCTGACGCTGAGTGGCCGATTCGACGACGCGTCCTTCACCACCTCCATCAGTCTTGGCGAGTGAGAGACTGAATTGGTCCTAGGATTGGGCCTTTACAATTTACATCAAGGAGAAGGGCAAAAGGCAGATGTTCGTCGCGATAGGCTCCGCCGTCGGCGAGGCGATCAGAACCATGATGGTGCGGTTGCGGACAAGACATCAATGTCAATGGCATGTGCCATCACCTCAAGGATCGCAAGCTCGTTGTCCCCCACGGACAAGCTAAGGTCGTCACTCACTCACGCCCCAACATGCAAAGCAAGCGAAGATGTTTCAAGGATATACGTGGTATGACGTCAGGCGAACACGTTGGCGTTTGAGCTTCGCTCGTTCGAAGCTCTTGAACAAGGCATGCTTTTCTATCTCGCGTGGCACCAAACGCACCCGCAATGGCTTCGTAAGACGCTGGCGGCGGTGTCCGGCAAAGACGGCCACCACGGGAAGAGGCTGTGCACGGTGCACTAGGTGGACCAGCTCAAGTCGGCGATCCGCGTCTTGGACATGAACCAGATGGACCAGTTGGAGCAGCTTCATGAGAAGTCGCGCCGTGAAGCAGGCCGATACTATGGACTGACGCCTTGGCTCGAGCGGGCTCACCATGAAGCATGTTAGGGGGCAGAAGGGGGGGCGGCGGCGGCTGGCTGCTGGGTCACCATCTCGGCGTTCTTGCTGGTGCCGCAGTTTGAGCTTGTGGGGCTCGCCGAGGCGTTCGGCGTCATCGGGGAGATCGACTTCTTCTACACAGAGCTGCCCACGAGCATGGCCAGCTTCAGCATGTCGCTGCTGTACACCAACGCTGCCATTGCGGCCTCCACGCTGATGACAAAGGTAGAAGATAACTGTGGCAGGGTGTTTTTTTTTTAAAAATTATCCTAGTCAGTATCCTCTCAAAGGGTATGGGCCTGCGGTGCACGACTTAACAAGTTTAGAGGTCTAGATTTCGGTTTTGAGAGTTCGTGGACCTAAATAACGCAGGGCCACAAGTTTAAGGGCAACTAAGCATCTGGCCTCAAACGACCTTGGAGTTTTGGAGTTCTGTGGCTTGGAGTTTTGGTGACAATGCCAAGCCACCAGCACAGTTACATTAATGTCCTCATCTTTCTTCGCCGTCATTGCAAGAATGGCGTCTGAGTCTGCTGACGCGTGTTCGCCGTGAGAAAGATGTGGCAACTGAAAAAGGCGGCGGAAAGCTTTGCGAACGACCATGGAAATGGATGATTCATTTTTCCAAAAGGTATAAACTGGTAGAGTCATTTCTAAGCCATTTCGTGTCTGTCTGTGCAAGTGCATCCAAGATCATCGTCAGAGCCTTCCTACTTGTTCCTACCCGCAACCAACCAACTCCAACGAAAAGCCACCTCACCAACTCCCAGCTGCTGTGACGTACACGTACTGTCTGTCGCATACACTGTGCATTCCATGGATATAAAGGGGCATTGGCTTGGGATCACCTCTGCATCTCACTTGGGATCTGCCTTGATCTCCTAGTCCTAGCTTGTTCGTTCCTCTTCGCTTGATCGATCGATCCCTGGTAGCTGCTGCAATGGCTTCCGGTGGCGCGTCACTGGCCTTGGCCGCGCTCATCCTCGTTAGCTGCGCCTCAGCGGCGGCGGCGACCAAGTACACCGTCGGGGACGCGTCCGGCTGGACGACCACAGGCGATTACGCCACCTGGGCCAGCGGCAAGAAGTTCAAAGTCGGCGACATTCTCGGTTAGCGCCGTATATATAACCTGAACTGTTGGCTTTTGCTCCATCGTAGCATTGAAAGTATTCATGACTCCAGTATGATTAAAAATAAGAGTATTATTAAAAATGTGCGGCCACGACAGCAAAATTCTGCTCAAGTGCATCCCTATCAAAGTGGTGCAGTGGACAAGAGGCAGGCAGGTACCCGTGCTCATGCAACTTTTGTTTCTTTTCAGAGTTCAAGTACGCCGGCGGGGCGCACACGGTGGACGAGGTGAGCGCGGCGGACTACGCCGCCTGCTCCTCCAGCAAGGCGCTCAGCAGCGACAGCGCCGGCACCACGACCGTGACGCTCAAGACCGCCGGCAAGCACTACTTCATCTGCGGCGTCGCGGGCCACTGCAGCAGCGGCATGAAGCTCGTCGTGGACGTCGCCAAGGCGGTGGCAGCCCCGGCGCCGGCGCCGGCCGTGGCCCCGGCCCCGGCCGCGTCCGCGGACACCACCCCAGACGCCCCCGACACCACGCCGTCGACCCCCTCGAGCTCCGGCATCACGCCCAAGACCAAGAGCCCAGTCACGGACCTCTCGCCGCCGGGCAAGAAGTCCACCTCCGGCGCCACCGGGCTCCGCGCCGCGGCGTGGGCCGTCTTGGGCCTTGCTGGGCTCGTGGCCGTGCACCTCGGCGCATTCTAGGCCCGCTGGTCTGGCCTGGGTGGAGGCAGTGCTGTTTGTTGTTAGGCTGCGCGTGGATTCGTGTATTGGTTGAGGGACTTGACTAGTTACCAGAGATTTCTTTTGATTCAGGGAACTTTTATTGGTGCTTTTGCTGTGCTGGTGGCTGTATGTAGTTGGATACTTGGATGTTATGCTATCAGTTTTGCTATTGTTATCACGTTCCTTTCATGATTTTTGATCGATCATGTTTGTGTATGTTTTGGAGCATTACATGATTTCCAAGTATAGCCATTGTGATACATCAGAAGCCCTCATATAGGATTGTATGATCGCAATAGTAAACCATGATAAAGAATTGTGATCCAATGTCATTCGAGTCTCTCATCAACACAACGCCAACAACTTTTCCAAGTATAGCCATAACACCAGCAGCGCGAAGGAAAACAAGATCTCCTAGGGATGCAGGACGTGGCAGCGGACTATGGGTGAACCTCACAATCACGGACACCAGACGACTGTTGTTCCACCATTTTTATGGTAGCCTAGCTTCACCTTAGGCCTGCCCCAACGCAGTAGCTTTGCTAGTTGTCTTAGATGTACAGGTACGCTCGGATGCCACCATGTACAAAAGATAGATGCCCTACAACTACAGTTGTCAGATGTGCTTGCAGAAGCTATAAGTTTTGAGGTGAGAGAAGATAGTCCACTCATAAAAAGAAGAGAGATAGAGAGGGAGGTGAAAACGACTGATAGTGAGAGGAGAGAGTAAAGTGCGAACATCACAGAGGAAATGGTGATTGGCTTGCATTGAATGACCAGTGGTATCAAAGCCTCTGTGCCTATATGGACCACTTTATTTGTACTAAGACCGCCAGCTCTATTAGCTTGCATTGCTCGTGCCCTCATGCTCTACACACAATTGTCATACCTAGTTGATGAAGTACATATAACAGACTAACATGACCACAACCTTGTTGATCAGGTCGGTATTATAATGGGGGTATGAGGAAGCCGCGACATGCAACTTACCACCATTGCTAGAGCCTAGAGGACACAGAATGTCAACACCTAATCCCCAGCCCTCTTTGACATCCATGTGTTAGAGGGGTTTGAGCCTATGGCAATGGATTGGCAGGAGCCAGGAGAACATTGAGAGATCCATCACAAAGAGGCTGAAACTGCTCCTACATATCTCACTATTGATGATTTCATCTCTCTAACTACCAAGGAGCTACTTGTGCCTCTAATCCACATCCTCTCATAGTGAACACTTAGGAACAAACATCAAAACTCATCTATATCAAATGTAGCATGTTCATGGCCCACGTCACCTAGGACCCGCCCAAAAAACCCTAACTCGACCAGCCAATGCATCAAATCAGGCTTGGACCATGATACATGGCCTGATCCAAAGTGCAGAAACCCAAGAAATAGCCCAACCCACCAATACGTTGGGTTGGGCTCAAACTAAAGATTTTGACCCAATAATTTTTTTAGCCAAACCTAATGTTTGATTAGCTCTAATTAGATGGCATTGAGATGGGACAAACAACAGAACTACAAATCCAACCACCCTGAACCAGAGCTTTCACCGTCTCCCCTTAACACAAGAGTAACAGTTAGCAGATGAACCCAAGAGTAGAGGTGGGAAAGGAGCTATGCAAATTGTAGAAGATCTATCTATACCTAATAATAAAAAGGTAAAATTTCCGCCGTAATTTTTTTTCTGCCTCTTCCTCCCCCAATCACCGGCTCGGTCTCGGTCTCGTTGCCAACAAAGATTAGGAGTAGGGAAGAGAAAAAATATGGGGTTCTAGATGTAAAGATACTAGAGAGAAAGAAAAGGTGGAAGAGCCTTAATAGTTTTTAAAATATATCAGGGTTCCTGATGCAAAATATTTAGATCCGAGTGGGCTTCTCTGGTGGGCTTCTTTTTCGACCTGGGTTGAATTCTTGCAGTTGAGCCGGCTTCGTTGTGGGCTGGACCAAGTCTATGCAAGCCTTTTTCCTTATGCAAGCCTTTTTCCTTTTCTTTCGTTTTTCTCATTTTCTATAAAAACAGAGATATTACAAAATTCCAAAATCATAGAAAAAAACATTAAAATGCCAAACCAGTTTTACAGCACAACTAAATATTTCATGAACCGAAAACTTCGTGGATTATTATCTAATGAAATCTTATAAATATATTTATGTAATTCCCGACGAGGACTGTCGTCTAAAAGTTCAAGAGAGGTCTCAATCACTAGTGGATAGACAAATCCTTGACACATTAACAAAAAAAAATTACAAAGGTTAATATGATGCATCAAAAAAGTTATAAAGGCCGATATTAAGTCATAGAAACACATGGGTATTATGAAAAATTAAAGTTATGATATACTTATAGCTAAATAATTATGTGCTTTGCAATGAAAGAAAAAAATATACTAAGGTGTATTTTAATTTGATACAGGTTTAATAAGATATTGTTATTTATTGTTAGCATTAACTTATATTATGGATGTCACGGTCATCATAAAATAAATTATAAAAGTATAAAACATAAGTAGATATGTACCATTCACTTCATCGTTTTGCATAAATGCTTGATAGTTTTTTTTTCTCATGTTGCAACGCACGAGCATATTTGCTAGTTGATAATAAAAAAAAACTTGGAGATTTGTCCCTAGACAATAGTCTACTAACTAATTTGAATTCTTAGCACAAGAGTTCAATCGTCCACTCACAAAGGCCAAGATGGACGCATCAAGACACGCATGGGATGAACTTTTCTACAAGTTGAACACACCTGTACACCACGTGAGAAGAATCCCCTATAAGGAACTTTACGAAGTTCTCTACCAGCCTGAGCTTTCGGTTAGCAGAATAAAGTGACTGAGTGACAGAAAAAACATGCCTCTGTCGAAGTCAGTGGATGGCCAAGTTAATTCATATAAAAACTGACCATGGGTATCCAGGACGAGATATGAGTTGGTAACCACGCAGAAGTCTGCAGTCCTGCTATTATACGTGTCGTCACCGGCAACATGTGACATGTCAATGAAACCCACAAACATACACAGATACACTGTTACATTTTTCATTTATATTCGCTTCACATCATTGAAACTCCAGATCCTCCCCTGAGTGACTGAGTCCCCTCTTTATATCATCAAAATGACTTACCAGACAACGGCACAACTAATGGCAGAGGACAAATTCAATGAGTTAGCTTCTTTCAATTTGAACAGATAGATGTCATAAGATATAATCCTGAGTGGCAAAAAAAATTGCTGCACATTACAAAGCCAATCTGAACAGATTGCAAAATTTGATAAATGACATGTCCAAAAGAAGTATATACAACATGAACTGCAAAGGCAGATCTCGTTCCACCAAGAGCTTGCACATGAGGTTGATCAGACATTTACTCAATAGCGAGTAAATGAATCAGTCACAGTAATCAACTAGGCAAGTATCATGATTTATTATTTTGCCTTCTAGAATTTCAGAAACAGTTTTTTAACCAAGTATTTTAGATGAACCACAAGCTTTGAGAACAGAAATTAATATTGTAATCATCATTTCATTAATGTCATCATTCTTATGCAACTATGCATCCACGGTGCTTGATTTAGTAGTTCATTCGAGGAGCCGATCGTCGATCTAATCATCCTAGAAATTTTGAAAGGATTGCCAAATGGCCACATAAGTATCATGTTCACCTTCATGTATCACTGATTCATTGTGCAGAATAGCATGTAGGTCCATACGTTAATAAATCTACAGAATGCAGTAACTGATGGCTTGTACTGAATTATGGGGAATCTTGAGTTAGTCCAAGTTTCTTGAGAATCTTCTTCTCCTGTGTTTTATCTGTGATATGTCAAGAAAAACAAACACAGGAAAGCTGCTTGCTGGTTTACAGAATCCAGTTGTACAATGATGCATTTCCTGATAGATGCATCTCAACTGGCACTGAGGCAGTTAGCAAAAGGAAATTTGTACCACAACATTTCCTGAGAGAATACACCACATCTAATGTACATCCTACTATCATTGCTTCTGCAGGCATGGCGAAGAAATAGACAAGTATTTTTCATGGATGTTAGGATACATTCTTCATCAGGGTGATCTGTAAAATTTGAGTGCAGAGCATTTCCAGCAATATCCACTATTGGAGATGTTGTCATGGAGGATTCCATGCATAATATGGCAGCAATGACATCAAGTTGTGTAACCTCATTACTGCACATTAATCTTGCATGTGCTGCAGCAGACAAAAATAAACTGTAAGAACAAAGGAATGAAAGGATCAAAAATAGCAATTGTGAAAGGAGGAAGAGAACCATAGGAGGTAACAGAACATGCCTTGCCCTAGCCTTATCAAACTTTCAAGCATACGCACTGTTGTCCTTGCTGCAATTTAGAAGCCTATTTTTTGAGAGGCTGCAAAATGTCAAGGCTACAGAAAAATATTTGTTTGGCTAAGCCTAACCTGCATTATGTGTTCCTGATTTTCTCTGTAGCTGATAATAGCTCGAGATAACTCTTTCTGCCTCCTTTGTCAGCACTGGTTTAAACTCCTTCCTTACATAATTGATGTACCTTAAATTCGAAATACCCTGGTATTATTGTATGGTATTGGCAACAAAAGACTGAAAATTTTCTGTACTGAACAGCACATTCAGCTAAATGCACTTTAAACATTCTGCTGCTCATTAGTGATCTGACAAAACAGCAGTTTCGGAAGCTGATAAATGAGGTGAGGATGTTAAAATAAATCATAAAAAAAATTATTTGTATTGTTGTGCACCAGCCTTTAAGCTCAGCCTTATTATTTCATGGGAGGTAATCAACACATCAAAAGTCTCAACCTTCTCAACTGGGGGAGTGTCCACTCTAGATCAGAAGCATCTGTCTTATCTTTCTTTCCATCAACATTCTGCACATTTAAAAAACTCATTTCTCAATAGAATTTTTGCTTGATGACTGACAATTTACACATTATTTTCATGCCTATGGATTAAGTGCAAGATGCAGCCAGTAGAGCGAGTCCAGTTTAATAGCAACAAACCATACCTCCTTCAATATATGAGATGAAACTACTTCATCCCAGTCAGTATTTTGTGAATCCAGAAGAACAAGGACTATATCAAATCTACTCAACAATGGTCCTGAAAGTGTTGTATTCACAGACAAACCTGAAAGGGAAAAGCAAAGATACAACAATCAGAATGGAAAAAAGGCCTTTTTGGATGTTGTTCTGGAAAAAAAACATGGTATCAAGAAACTGTACTTTCAGATACCAAAGGTGTGCAAAAACCATGTTTTTTTTTTAAAAAAAAGGACATGGGTGCAGAAACTCCGAAAGATGGTTTTAGCAATACTATAGTTTTTTTTAAATTATAGAATTCACTGTGTAAACCTTTTAGTTTCTCAAAATGGAAGCAAAACCGTTGTACTTTCCCAAAACTAAAAAACAAAATTTGTATCTGAACAAAAATTATCTAAGAACTTTAGCAAGGGACAATGATAGAATCTTAGAAGCATGCATTTGTTTTTTGACGCCTTGCTAAACTAATATTGTTAGCAAATTGAAAATGATTTGGGCCAAAGTACTAATAAAGGGGAAGTCCTCCAAGTGAATCTTAAGAAATTAACTAGCCAATATCCCAATAACACCATCGTGTTATGGGTGAGAGTGGAACCCAGAAGTAAATATGCCTGTAACACAGTGCTGACTTCTGATAACATTTTACATAAGTCACTAAGCTATATAATTGCTTTTTGTGTAAAAGCACTACTTTCATTAGGGTCATATTGCCCTTTCGGATTCGTGGCACCAAATACAGTAGTCCTTGTACTGAGTGTCGTAACTAGTCCAGCCTGGAAGACAGAAGTAATAATGTTGAGTTAAAGTGCACACTAGTAACTGTGAGTGGTACAGAAACTGGCAATTTTAAAAAGCAGCAGTACCTTCGCAATGCTTATTGTCTGTTGCTCCATGGCTTCATGTATTGTTGTTCTGTCATGCCCTCGCATGCTATTGAGAAGAATGTCAGGTTAGGTATCATAGACCTCCATGATAAATTAGGTTATATAATCATATTTGCATTAATTTTAGCAAGAACCCAGAAGCAGTACATGACATACCATGTCTTATAAAAAGTATCAACAGCACAAGACAAGCTATACATCAGGTAAAAATTATGCATGCAGATTATATCGGTGATCCGTTGTGCGTATCCAGGGACATAAGTGGTCATCACTTGTCAGACTCAGCCCTGTAGCAGGGCAACGAGGGCGCCCACCAAAACCAAGGGGCATATGGGAAAGGGGCCCCTAACCTTAGTAGAGTACTAGAGTGTACTGTTTACCCCCTAACCTTAGTAGAGTTTACTGTTTATTCTACACCTAAAGAGGGTAGTGCCTACTTGCTACATGCATGTATAAATCTCATACATGAGTATACAAAAAAAAATAACTGCAATTATTGGACGTCTTATACTAGGCATGTGTATACATCTCATGCGTAGCACTGTTATCGGATGTCAGAACTGCAGAGTGCAGAGGATAGTGCTAGTACTATTTTGTAAGGCCAGATGAGTTCTAATATAATTTAGGAATTGGAACGTCTTGAATTTCAATAATCATAGAGCACTATAAGGGTGTGTTTCGATCACTTCCACATCTCGCCAAAATTTGCCACAGAAGTTGAGGTCGTTGTTTGGATCACGTTGCATCCATATCTTGCGACAGGTTAGGCTGCCACACTTTTTTCCTTAGTAGATTTTTGCCAAATATTCGGCGGACAAATCGTTCACCATGTTTTCAGCGTGTCGTGACTCTGTCTGGCGCGATGGGGACGCTAACCAAACAGGGCCTAATTGCACTAGTAAACAGCATTAAATAGAAAATTGAACGTTGGTGACCTGTCAAATTCATCTATGCAGCATAAACCACCATCAGCCAAAACAAGAGCACCAGCCTCAAGCATCCACTCCCCTGACATTACACCCCCACCATCACCGACACCACCAAAAGAGAACAAAATCGTTACTAGATGTAGATGAAACAGAAAACAGCATAATGCTATGACAGACGTAGTACCTCCATCCTTGACAGCTGTGACAGTTAAACCAGCACTGGAGCTTCCGAGACCAGTTGTGATCACAGAGCGGTTGCTCAATTTAGCAGCAAACTTCAAAAATTGGGATTTACCAGTACCTGAAATTCAATGGAACAAAATATAGTTGCAATTTTGCCTTTCCTTTTCTAAATAAACTTTTTTCCTACATGAATAGTAGGGTCAAGCTTTTTGCTTATTAATCAACAACCGGCACACCCCTCGTATTTAAGCAATAGACTGATCTATTATCTCATTTTGCTTCTCTAACCCCTGTCTCGCTGGTGCAATAGCCAACCACGGCTCCCCAGCTGCGCTGACAAGGTCCAGGATCACATCCAGAAACCTCTTATTACTACCCTCTCCGATCCAATCCACCCAAGACAGACCTTGTTAGCCGGCAATCAGGTACAGACCCTCAGCCTCACACAAACACACTTGGCAGATGAAGTAGTGGAGAAGGGAGAGCAGAGAGAGCACGAACACACACACTCACACTAGAATGCTGCTGCATAACTAAACTGGATTGCAGCTGATCCATATACTTGCATATATACATGTTCTACTCTAGTACAGAGGATGTGAAAAGAAAGGAGCAAGAGCTGACCGAATTACTAACAACTCTTCCCTTAATTAGGATGCTCTTGCTTGATTTCCACCACTCCAATCTTGGTCCATGTTGTTGCAACATGATATGGCCGAGGGGATTGCTGCTTTGGAGCGCACTGGCACTTGGGACCTTGTTCCCTTGCCCCATGATGTCATTGCCATTACTTGCAAGTGGGTCTACAAGGTCAAGACTCGATCTGATGGTTCTCTTGAGCGCTATATGTTAGTCGCTGAATTCTTACTCTTGGTAGTAGCAGAATTCTTACTCTCATCGAGAGAGAATGACACTAGGAGTTGGGGCAATTTTCTGGTTTATTTCTCACAAATGCCATGCTAACCTGAGGGGTTGGGGATACATATTTATAAGCTGCTAGCCAGCCAAGCATATGCCAAGATGCTAGTACTAGATGCTAAGATGTTGTCCTTCTAGATGCTAAGATGCTGTCCTCCTAGATGCTAAGATGCTGTCCTAGCCAGTCAAGGATGCTGTCCTTGATGGGCAGCAAGACCACCATGTGGCTGGATGCTGTCCTTGATGGGCAGCAAGACCACCACCATGCAGCCACAAGGACCATATGCTGCAGCCCCACAAAGACCAGCCAACACAGAGACTTATCCATCACTATAAGTCTCGTGTTGTTGCACGCAGTTTCCAGCAAGAGCATGGTCGTGACTATGATGAGACCTTTGCTCGAATTGCTCATATGACTACTATTTGGACTCTTCTTGCGGTTGCTTCTGTTCGACAATGGTCCATCTCTCAGCTTGATGTCAAGAACACCGTTCTCAATGGCGAGCTCTGTGAGGTCTACATGCAGCCACCTCCAAGGTACTCCATTCCTCATGGCACGGTGTGTCGGCTCCGTCGTTCTCTTTATGGCCTCAAACTGGCTCCTCAGGCTTGGTTTGAGTGCTTCTCTATGTTGTCACTGACGCTGGAGCCTAGTGACCATGACCCTGCTCTCATTGTCCACACCTTCCCTCGTGGTCGTCCTCTTCTCCTTCTCTATTTCGATGACATGCTCATCACAGGTGATGATTCACAATTCATTGACTTTGTGAAGAAGTGGCTTAGTGATATAATGTTTGATTTGGGTCCCCTTCATTACTTTCTTGGTACCTCTCCTAGGATTAGTATGTACAGGATATTCTCTCCTGTGCCGCTCTCACTGATCACCGCATTGTTGATACTCCTATGGAGCTTAGTGTTCACTTGTGTCCCACTGATGGTGAACCACTTGACAACCCGACTCGCTATTGTCACCTCGTTGGGAGTCTTGTCTAACTTGGGATTACCCGTCGAAACATCTCTCACCATCTCTGCTCCGACTCAGGTCCATTGTGCTCACCTTCTTCGTGTCCTGCAATACCTTCGTGGCACCACATCTCGCCGCTTGTTCTTTCCTCGCTCTAGCTTGCTCCGGCTTCAGGTGTACTTCACTGCTACTTGGGATAGTGATCACTCCTTCTCAGCCTATTGTGTTTTCCTTCACTCCTCCTTAATTGCATGGAAGACCAAAAAGCAATCTGCAGTTCCCCGTTTGAGTGCTGAGGCTGAGCTGCGTACTATGGCAGCTGTCACTGCCGAGGTGACATGGCTACATTGGTTGCTTGAGGACTTTGGTGTGCCACTGGACCGACCCCTCTTTCCTTTGACAGAACCGGCACGACCAGTATTGCTCGGGATCTAGTGAAGCATGAGCTCACAAAGCATATTGGCGTTGATGCTTCCTACATGAGGCCGTAGGTTCATGATCACATTGTGTCTCTTTACCATGTGCCTTCGGAAGTTCAACTGGCAGATTTCTTCACAAAGGCACAGACGAAGGCACACCATAGTTATTTGCTCTCCAAACTCAATGTTGTTGATCCACCATGAGTTTGAGGGGGGAGGGGTTAGATGTATATGTCTTGTAGTGTAGGCTGTTCCCTGCATATTGTACATCACCTTATCTCCCCCTTTGGAGCATGGCAATACAATAAGTTGCTATTCCTAATAGATCTCTCCTACCGTGGCTCTGAATCAGGTACAAATCAACGTGTGCACGCACATGCACACGCGCGCGCGCACACACACATTGAGAGATGAAGTAGTGGAGAAGAGAGAACAAAGAGAGACACTGGAGTGCTGCTGCTTAACTGAACTGGATTGCAGCTGGTCCATATACTTGCATATATACATGTTCTACTCTAGTAGAGTGGTGTTTTACCAACTACAAGTACAAATACTACTACAATGGCCATACCAGCCATACTACCACCTACTATGGCCATACTACCAACTATTTGCCTCATGTCACAAGACAAGGGAGTACAAAAGGATGTGAAAAGAAAGGAGCAAGAGCTGGCCAAATTACTAACAGACCTAAACATGACACTGCTTATTTTAACTGGCAGTTATTTTTTTTTCTTCTGATGCCTCCTTAGCATTGTTACCATTTACCAGGACATCAAGTCTTAAAATATTTTTGAGTCAGCCTATTCAACCCTGGTCGAGTTCCAAGTGATTCCAGGCAACTCCAAAATCTATGGCTGAAGTGACTGGAGTCCAAGTTGGATTCTGATGCCCATGTCCATGTCCGTGCAATATAACCTCTATTCTGTTTTTTTTTTCTTGGGTTATAGGTACAACCCCTGAGGTCCTGCCCACTCTCAAAATAAATTAAGCCTTGCAGACCCCCATGGAGAAATCGCTACTTGTGTATACACGTCATGAATACAGTACCTGGATCACCAACAAGAAGCATATGGGGTTCTCCACGAACCTTTGTTCCAGAAGCATCAACATGCTGCACTCCACCAATTAATGTAAGAGCAACTGGAATCATTAAACATTGTGATGTTATAATAAATTTATTTGGCATATAAAAACTTCAAAAATAAATAAGTTTGTATGTTCTTTTTGGAGGGGAAAAAATCTATACTCAAAACAAGAACTCTCTATAATTTAGGTTTGTAATATAAATTAACGAAATATTTTGGACCATGGAATCATTATCAGATGCTACCAAGCATTTAATATGATATGGCTCTCTCTTATTTTTCTTTGGAGTCAACTTTAATATAGAATATAGAATATAGAATACAATTTTGTTGGGGGTCCCAACCGTTTGATATAAATTCAACCAGGTAATTATTATGGATATTGAAAATCGAGCAACACCATGGAAATAGCTGTGTTGTTTTAAGCCTTGGGATTTAGGAATCACATGAGGGTGGACGCATGGCACACATAAAGCACAAGACAGGATGAATGAACAAATGAACAATGAATTATGTCAGGTTTTCGGTATAAGCTTTTCAGTTTTCTGTTTGATAGCCATTGTGTAATGCAGTTAATATTGTTTAATTATAGTTTGCCAGGCACAGTTTGATGATAAATTACTTCAATAGGTCATACAGAACCATATACAAGTGAAATAAGTAAGGTAAAAAATGCTCTCTTCTCCTATAGGAAGTGAAAAGAAAAGGTTAGCAAGGCGATTGATTTATACTACTCATTACTGCTTTAAATTTGTGGGCAATTTAATTCCTAAGAGCATATATCAAGGTTAGCTGCACAGTTGTACAACTACTCGACTAGTTAATAGTAGGACAACAATACTTTTTTTTTTTTTTTTGAAGGGGCCAACAATACAGCTTAGAGTTACATACCTGCAAGCTTCACCGTGAATAGCCCAAAAATTTGAGGACAGATGCCTTCCAAGATAAGATTTCTTCCTGTGTACAAGAGAAATAGGATAAGCAGTTTACACTAGTACAGTATTGGAATAAAATGTCTGTAAGGCTTCCATTATGTGTAGAGGTAATGTGAACAGTAATGTACGTAGCTGCAGTAGCATTCAAGTTGGTTCTTTCGCTTGGTTGGGAGATAAGCTATTTTCAAACGACAGCTTGATTAGAGATAACAATTCAAATTGACTTAGGACAAAAAGTTAAGGCATAAGATTTGATTTAGACAATTTTGTTAGGAGTGAACCCACTATAAAATATGGGGTGGCCCACTTTCACATTTATAAGCAAAGAAAATAGTCATTTCCTCACTCAAGGTTTATAATCACCCAAGTCATGGCCCCATCCCTTTCTTATAGCCCCTTCCTCTTCATCCTCCATTATTCATCCCACCTTAGTGGTCAATACAGTGTTTATTCCCTAATGATCTGAGGAACTGTCTAAGGAACCACCTCCGAGAAGGCGAGAATGAAGGCTGTTGTGGTCCATAACTGTTTTCTCAATGGAGTTGCACAAGAACATCCCATGCTTTGTCTGCAACTCTGGATCACAACAGGTGCACCAGGGCAGGTTGCAATATCAGCATTCAGCACATCTGTCCCACCAGTGCATCACATAAGTGTATTGTTTCTTCCCTACGATGATATCCTGTGCCATCAGCATCATCCTCAGCACTGAGCTGCAATGTGAGTCTGTTGTCACATTGCGTTGCAGGAGTGCAGCTGATCACGTGCCGACGTGTGTGACACTGACACACATGCCATTTCAGCAATGTGGGCACTGATGGTGACAACCATGGCCACCACAACACGGGTCAAACAAGGAATCTCAAACAAGAGCTGTCTTGAAACATCAAATGAGATAGAAGTTGTGATATGCGACTTTCTTTTATTTAGAATATAAGCTGCTGGCAACAAGAATTTGAGTTGATTAAATTAGATTAAAAATTAGGTGTATTGGTTTAGATATATTTTTCTAGGACAGAAACCCATTTATGAAATGAAGGGTAGCTGGCTGGTATCGTTAAGCAAAGAGGGATTTAGTCTTTTTCAGACCCAAAATTTCTAACTGCACCAATGTACAGTTCCATCTCCCTACTAAAGTTCCCTCCCTTTCATCTATCATATCCGTTGCTCCAACGGTCCAACCTCCAAACTACAATAGTAATTCCCTGATCTAAGGATCATAACAGCTTCGCATTTAAGATTAAAGAGTAAGAGTAAATTGTATTAGAGGTCACCAAGCTTGTCTTGTATGTGGAAATAGGTCACTGTTCTTTCAAATTGGACTAATCCATCACTAAACTTTCTAAGTGGATCGTCTAAGGGCCTGTTTGGCAGAGCTCTACTCCTAGATTATCTGACTCTGCTCCTTGATTCTCTAGTGGAGTGATTTTACTGGATTATGGTGGGAGAGCAAGGTGGGGAGCAGGTGAGAATTGATTCTTGAGTGATTCTTGTAGGTTTTGAACAGGGAGCAGTGGAGAGCAGGTTTTTTTAGCTCTCTCCTCCCAGTGTAAATGGAGAAGTGATTCTTGCCTGATCGCCACCTAAATCTGTGCGAGATTTAGCTGTTTGGCTGGGGATGAGTGATTCTCATGAAGAATCACTTCCAGAGAGCCCTGCCAAACGGCCCCTAAGGTCACCAATGAGCAAACTCACATATTTCACGCTGACATAGAACTATACAGTAGTGCAGGACAATGTGATGCCATGCCTCTGACCAGCGCATATTGTGCCAGTGCTCCATCGAACGCGAAAACATAGCAGCCGGAACAAGTTCATGCTGTACAGCCACCAGATCCTTGCCGGGACACTGCCCAGTGCACTGCAGGAAGATGACACTATGCTTGTATATTGACTAAACCTACAGCTGAACAGTGGTTGGATAAAGAAATCAATCTTAAGTCCAAGAGAGATTGATCTCCTCTCCTGTTTACACACCTGCAGGTTGTGCGTACTTTTCTTTGCTCACAAACTCTCTACAGTTGATTCAAACAGCAGAACTCAAACCCACAGGACTTACAAGCTACACTCACCATTCACCAGCAGGGGCCCACCCAAGTCATGCAACAATCTGTGGCAGTGTTCTAAACTTCCAATTGCCTCCATGTAATTGCTCATGAACCAAATCAGCACATTGTGTCCCAAGAATCAATCCACACACACACACTCGTGTGTCGCTGATCACCAAAATTCTCACAAATCCATAGTCACACTAAAGTAAGATAATGTCAAATAGATGAGTTGGTGAATTCATATATAAGTTGTACATGATTAGAATGCAGGGGGGTCAATGCAAAGATCATGAACTATATATCCCACCACTTCAATGTGAACCCATTACCATAGTGACACAAAATGTGGCATCCACGTGAGCATAGATTTGATGTGAGTTTGAGGTATTTTGTAAGGGTTATTTTCCTTTTTTTTATAATGCTACACAGGAAGGGCGGGCCTGGTGCAAGCGGTAGAGTCTTACCGCCTGTGACCGGAAGGTCCCGGGTTCGAGTTGCGGTCTCCTCGCATTGCACAGGCGAGGGTAAGGCTTGCCACTAACACTCTTCCCCAGACCCCGCACAGAGCGGGAGCTCTCTGCACTGGGTACACCCTTTTTATAATGCTACACAGCTCTCCAGTGTGTTTGAGAAAAAAAATTATACAAGTTGGCACTAAAGTGACCTTAGGTGATCCACTTAGAAAGTTCATGATAGATCAGTCCCATTTTAAAGTTCGCTGACCTCTGACCTGATCAGGATCTTTACAGCTGCCATGGATAGAAGTGAGCTATCAACCACAAGGTTCCCAATTCACACAACTAATTGGCAAATAAAATACATTATATATGCTTAAAGGTAGAAAGCTAGGTTTAGGTAAGTCTAGGAAACACACAGGCACAGACTACGCACCTTGTAGGGGAGTATCCCTGTCCCTGTGTTTTTTCCAGAAACGCTCAAACTTGACTTTAGTTTCCACGGGAATGTCTACATCAACCTTCAGCTCATTTGTTCTCCTGAATGCACAATCATTCGTAAACATAAGAACAACGAATGAAAGGAACTGACATTGTCCAAACTACAACCAGAAACAAGAAACCATCCATTGGACAAATAAAAATAGCTGCAAACTTTTGCAGTCTAAACATATGACTACCTCTGATGACATCTGATCTGAGTACTTTGGTAGATGGTGATAAGGAAACTACAATGCAGTGACCGAAGCAAAACTAGTCAATGAGTCAGGTCATAAACTGTAGACAAAGGCCCCTATTTTGTTGGCTGCATACGGGCCAGGCATAAGAATGCATGAATAATTTTGAACTAGAATTAACATGTAGAGCTTATTGCTGGTATCACAGGATTGATCTGGATGCATGAACAGGCCCTTCCAGATTCTTATCAAGCATACTATGCAATGAAATACTTCAAAGAACAAAGAATTGCAATTGACTAATCGTGTAGCTAAGAATATGGTTAAAACTATAATGATCAAGAGATTCAAAGTTAGTAGAATCAAAGCTTGCTGAACAACCAAATTATAAATAATCAAATTACCTCACATAATTGGCAAGCAGCATAGGATCAAGGTTGGACCGCACATCCTTAATATCAGGAGACCATTTGGCAGATAATATGCCCGTAATAATGACATCATCTGAAGAAACAAGCTAACACGGCTAAGCATAATAATGGATGAACATTATACGCAACTCATGTAGGGCTTACAGCATATTCCACTTTTGACTTTTCACATTGGAAATAACAAGAAACCAACATTGAAATGTTATAAGTGAACTGTTCAAGCTGCTCCAAACAATAGCAAAGCTTCTAGACTTTTTTTAGCTCTGAACACAACTGGAAAATTCAAAAAATGAAAAAAAAGGAATGCAGGATAAGGGCTGAGAACATGAAGGCACAAATAATACCAATAGTCATTCCCCATGATCCTATGGATAAATCACAAAGAGGCTGCTTACCTCCAGCTTTAATGCTATCAACAAGGTCATCCATCAAAATTACAGGCATGGAGCGGGGTATAGACCCAATACCAAGAAGCTGTACATTCTCTTGAATTTTGATTTCTTGGTAATCACGGCAAATGGTGCTACCTTCTACAAACTCAAAAGAAGCACTTGTACAGCCACTTGAAGCCTAGATGCAGAGCAAAATTATTATTAGTAGCTTCCATAGCAGTTCAAGCAAAAGTACAACCAATTATAAAATGTAACAGGCAAGAAAAATAGTACTCCTATCACGTAGAACAATGCAAATGTTCACCGCATGTTGACACATATATATAGAACAAGAAAAAAAAACAGCAGTAAAAGAATCTACTAAGAAAATCAAATACCTTTGGGCACAATAAAGGAAGATTTATACGATTCCTAGCCTCCAACTCAGGATAGACCTCGAAGCTGTTCAAGGTAAAGAAAATGTAGGTATTGTCTATCCAGTGTGTAAAGGTATGATCACAATGTTCAACAATTCTTCTTAGAAAAAATGATGAGGTCAAAACATTTCTTGCTATATGTCAACTTGTCAAGTCACAAAATTATCATCTGGAAGTTTATATAAACTTTCAAGGCAATCAACAAACAGTTTTCAACTCTGAATATCCCCACCAATTTCTTGAAAAAATGACAGACTCCTCCTGCTAATGGATCTTTTCACTTACAGACTTAAGAAACCCAAATAGGCTTCCCGTTTAGATGGGTCAAACATTTCTGATTCTGAGCGGAATCACTTCAATCTCTACCAGATGCTGAAAAACTAGTAACGTTTCACCCTGAATCACCTTGAAACGTTTCTCATTTTAACACTGGGAGGGAGAATAAACCAAAAGGTTGTTTCAAACGGATTCTAGTTCATTTCAACGAGTATCTGTATCAGTAGCAAAACGAATTGAGCAAGTGATTCTGTTTCAAAAGAGAATAGTTTTTAGGGAGAATCTGGATCACTACCAATCAGGTCCTTAGTGTTACAAAAATGTAACAGAAATGATATAATCTTGCCAGCCCCGCTAGAAATATGAAACTCCACTTTAGTTTTAGGAAATCTCTTCTCACTTTTTAAGGGAAGCTAATACCTAACCAGCTTAATCGGTAGACCGCCATCTGAAATAGCAGAACTGCACTGATACGAAATTCATGGTGATGATTCACCAGCAACCAGCCCATATTAGTGTACATGTTGAAAAAGCCCTGAAATATGCATCACAAACCTGTGTTTGCACTTCCTGCACATGTAGCACCTCTCATACTCAATCATCTTCACACAACCAGATCTGATCACAGTTCCCTTCAGAGCAATCAATTTCCTCATGTGCTTCACCCTCACCTTTCCAATACTTGGGGAGACCTCTGCAAAAGTGCAAAACACCTCCATCACCACCAAACTACGAATATGATGAAGTGGCCCGCCAAATTGCGCGAAGAAATCACCACACAGGAATTCGAACGAGCACAAGAGTTGCACAAGTGCGCACCAGGGGATTCTAGCGGCGATCCAGTGACATCGATACGCACATGCACGGACCTCTTCTTCTCTGTGGTTTTCGAATTCCCCAATTTCTTCAACACCTTGTCCTGCAAGGCAATATTAAGGTTTCAGAAAAGAATGGGGAATGGGCATGGAGATGCAGGAGGTGGTTGTATGCTCAGATGGTTCGCTGACCTGGGCCCATTGTGCGGCGTATTTGAGGAAGGGTAGGTACTTATGGGGATCTAAGTAGAGCTTGCCGGCGAACTTGGGGTCGAACTCCATAAGCTCAGAGAATCTGCGAGTGGAGATGGGGTGTTAGGGTTTGGTGAAGGGGAAGGGGAACGGGAACGGGAACGGGAACGGGAGGAGCTGATCGGGAGGACGCACTCAATAACGAGAGGGAAATAGAGCTTGGAGGGATCGTCGTCGAGGAGGATGCGGTGAATGTCGTCGGCGTAGGAGTTGAAGAGGAAGTCCGCAAGCTTCTGCGCCGCGGCGGACTCGTCCTCCTCCGACGAGAACATTTGGGCGGCGGTGGGGATTTGGGCGGGAAACGGAGGAGGGGTGGCGTCGAGGCGATGATGGTCAGAGTTGGTGTTATGGAGCGGCTCTGTAGTGTAGTGGGCTTGCGGAAAACAGTACTGATTTGTTTCGTGGGCTATTAAATACGTACAGTGCCGAAACCGAATTTGGCAGGCCCAGATGAGGGCAGCGCAACTTTGGTCTCGTTTGGTTTCTATTCGGTAATGCGAGCGACCGTCTCTCCTTCCGAACGCAGCATTCCCAAACTGCGCGCTACTAGTCCAACTGGCATGCTGTCTGTCTCCGTAAATATCTCTTCGCCCATCGCGCGGTGCTACGCCGTGCGCTCGCTGTTGCCGTCTTTCCCGCCGCGTACCTCATCCCACGTCATGCACCCTCCGTCACCGCGCCACGCTCCATCCCTTACCGCGCCCGCTCCACCTCGCTGCACACCATGCCCCATCCACCACACATGGCGAGGTGCTGCTGGGGTGCTGCTGACACTGTTGTTCCCCACCAGAAAGTTGTGGCCGCCACGCGACGTGCGACCTCAACAAGAAGATGTTACGATAAAAAGCGTATGTTTCAAGTGTTTCAGACGTTTTAGAAGTATATTGCAATTGTTTTATATGGATGCAAAAGTAAATCGAGGTGTTGCACATATTGCATATGTTCCAAGTGTTTCAGAGATATGTTGCAAGTGTTTCACAGGTTTGTTCAAAATGTTTCATTTGTTCCAGACATATGTTGCAAGTGTTCTAATCTAGATATTGCATATGTTTCACACATATGTTGCAACAATATATTCCAAATGTTTGTTTCAATCTTACGCCTTGTTTAGTTCCACCCCAAATTCCAAAAAGTTGCTACAGTACATATCACATCGAATGTTTGCGGCCCGTGCATGGAGCATTAAATGTATACGAAAAAAAAACTAATTGCACAGTTTGGTGGGAAATTGCGAGACGAACGTTTTGAGCCTAATTAGTCCATGTTTGAACACTATTTGCCAAATAAAAACGAAGATGCTACAGTAACCCCAAAATCCAAATTTCGCGAACTAAACAAGGGCTTAGTGCAGTAAGTGTTTTTATATTGCAAGTTGTAAGTGTTTATCTAAATATTGCATATGTTTTTCACATATATGTTGTAAGCGTATGTTCTAAATGTTTCATCGTTTTCATATATATATATATATATATATATATATGTTGCATTCAAGCGTTTCATGTGGTTTCATATGGTTGAGAGAGTTAGGGAGCACGGGGGAGTGATGGTGGCATGGCACGGGCGCGGCAGAATGGTGTGCGGCGAACTGGGGACCGACGGACGGGCTGCGTGGCATGTCGGTGTCCTGCGGACGGGGCTCGCTGGGGCCGCGTGCACGTGCGAGGTTAATCGCGCTGTGATGGGGCAGGGGGCGTGCGCGGCGAGAAAAAAAAAATCAACGGACAAGGGCAGGCTCTATCCGTCCGAACACGCTAGCACTGCCGTTAGATATATGTAGCTTACCTTTATGGAATTTTTTCACGCTTCTTAGAGTGCAGGTGCCTGAAAACGCAAGACCAAAAGCACCTGACAACTGAATGAAAGAAATCAAGGAAAGAAGCTCCAAAGCCATCTGATTTAGATCCAATGAATGAGAATCATGTTAGATGCAAAATTTCAAGCACCTGAAATATAGTCGGTCATATTCTTTTGGACTAAAAGAGTAGCTCACTAAATTTTAGCTGTATCTTAACTTTGTTTGCCTAGACAATCGTTTAGCCCATTTATACAATGTTCAAATGTATGTCAATTTTGTTTAATTGATCGTTTCGGTTTTGTTTAATCGATCTTTTATCACATTTACACGAGCGTTTATCCGATTAATGGTTAAACAACAAGCGACCGACTGTTTACAACTAGTCCTACCTAATCAAACAGGGTCTAATAAGTCAGCTAAAGACATCAATAAACATTTTGTTTTTTGCGAGGAGACATCAATAAACTTGATAAGCTAAACCCCGAGAACATCGAGGAAGCTAGACACAAACACAGCACAGGCAAACAATATTAATCATTCGTGATTGAATCCGCGCAAATGCCTGTGCCGCTACGCGCATGTACGCTCTTTGCACGGCACGGCGCTGCGCCACCAGCCTAGTCAGCTCTGCCTTGTTGTGCCCTTGCCCGCCTTTTAAAGCAGCACCTGCCTGTTCGGTTGGCTGGTTCATATTGTTGCTGGTTCGTAAAGAAGTACTGCTGACTGATTTATGTGAGAGAAAAATATTATTTCAACTAAAAATTTATGATCGTTTATGACAAACCACAGTCAAACGAACAGCCCGAGCGCTACCCTGTACAGAGTGCGGCCAGAGCTAGAGCCAAAGGCTGACGGGTTGACGCTTCCAAACACGCGCGCGCTCGCCCATGCATGCGAAGAATGCTAGTACTCTCGCCAGAGCAAAAGGCGCCGAGCTCCAGCGTAGGCGGAGCCCCCGCGCACCGGGCAGGCGGACACGAAAGCGATAAAGCAGCCCGCGCCAGGCTGCCGGTTCCAATCAGGCCGAGCAGTGGTGGGCGGCGGCCCCGCCCGCGCAGCCGCGCTGTTCAGCTGTCAACGCCGCCACGCCGCCCGCCGTGCCGTGTAAAAGCAGGCGCGCGCACGTCAGTACGTGCCGCGTACCAACGGAGTACGCCCACCGTTGATTGGGACCCGATGGGCGGCCGGATCGCGACCGACGCGTCGACGGGTGTGGAAGAAGGGTTGGAACTGGAAGGAGGAGGCGCATGGAGGCGCGCGTCCACGTAGCACTAGTAGTAGGCCATTGTGCGCCTGGGTAGTCGCGCATTCGCCAGCGCGGTCCTGGACGGAGGGGACACCGTACGCGCGGCGGCCGGCGCTTTGTCTGCCGGCCGGGGGGAGCTGCGGGCCGCGAGGGCGAGGCGACCCTGCGCCTGCGGCGTGGCGTGCACGGTGCGCGGCGCGGGCGTGGAAGCCTCCGTGCGTGCATGTTTTGCAGGCGGCACGGCCACCTAGGCTCGGAAATGCGTGGCGGTGCATCGGTATGCACGTGCCAAATGCAGCGGCGCGCACGTTGAGGCATCGTGAGAGATTGGGATAGTCAACTGATCTTTTTTCGCGGAGATTCCCATTTACTCGCGCCTTGTTGTTTAAAAGACGCCAAAGCAAAAAGCGTAGGCGGAGCCCCTTGCGCACCGAATGCAGGCGGACACGAAAGCAGCGATAAAAAAGAAAAAGCTAAGGCTGTTTGGTGGAAAATCAGGGCGAGCGTTTTGGGCTAATTAGTCAATGTTTGGACACAGCCGCGCCAATTAAAAGCGAAGATATTACGCCGCCAAATCCAAATTTGCCGTAACTAAACAAAGGCTCGCGCTAAAGATGTCAGTACGTGCCGCGTACCAAAGGTACGCCCACCGTCGTTATTGGGACCCGATGGGCGGCCGGATCACCTAACCGACGCGGCGACGGGTGTGGAAGAAGGGTTGGAATGGAAGGAGGAGGAGCGCGCGCCACGTAGCGGTGTGGAGGCCGTTTAATTTATTGAGCCATTGTGCGCCTTTCTTTCTCGGGTTTCGCCAGCACGGTGTGAGGAGGGAATAGTTTTTAATGAGGCGGCATTGCATAAAAAGCTCAAATATTTTGTCTGCCGGTGTTTACGTGATTGTTAAATATGAATATGTGACCCTGTGATTGCGGCGTTAAATATGGTGTTCTTGCGGCGCGGGCGTGGAAGCCTCCGATGGCGTGCATGTTTTGCAGGCGGCACGGCCGATATTAGGCTCGGAAATGCGTGGCGGTGCATCGGTATGCACGTGCCAAATGCAGCGGCGCGCACGTTGAGGCATCGTGAGAGATTGGGATAGTCAACTGATCTTTTTGTTGCTCATCTTTAGGCTCGTCCATCCATTCCACGATACGAGTACTCCTCGTGCGTTTATCTTTTTCCTCCGCAAGAATTTATTGTGTTGACACTCGACAATCTTTGCCATCGTTTACGCTATCTAACTGCCAACTTAATAGCGATTCTTTTACAACGATGCACTGTGATGGCTCAACGCTACCAGTCTTTTATATATACCTTCTGCCATTGTGAATCTGGAGCGTCAAGAAGCACACTGGCCGATTTTGTCATCAGTGTAGATATGTATACGTGCCAGTATCCTGCTTATGAACCAATCATCAGTGTACTGCCTAATTTTGTCGACCGCTTAGTTTTCGATGATGCGGTTCAGCCAAAAGAAAATCACGGCAACATCTGTCGTCAGGTCCTCTAGGACGTGTGGTTGTGTGCGCGTGCGCTTCCCGCCGCCCACCGGCCGGCCAGACGGACCCCATCCAGCTGAAGCCAAAACCGAACCCCCAGGGAGGCTCCAACCACGCCATGGACGCACGCACCTCCACCACCCACGTCCCCCAACTGCTACGCTCCCCCGACACCCAACTCACTGCCCACTGGCTCCGCCTCCGCCCGCGTCCGCGCAACTTCTCTAGCTCCCGCCTCCCGCCTCCCGCGCCATATATAGGACCACGCACCCGCACGGCCAGGCCACGCCGCACCACCACCAGCTCCCGCACGCGCACGCCCGCGCAACCCCACCCCACGCATTTATTGGCCCTTTGCTGCGCTCGTGCTCGTGCAGCCGCGTCCGAGATCGCCAGCCAGGCATGGCAGCCGGCGCCGGCAAGTCGTCGAAGGAGGCGGATCCCGCGCGGTGCAGGAGGCACCCGAAGCACCGGCACGCGGCGGGTGTGTGCCCGTTCTGCCTACGCGACCGCCTGTCGCGCCTCTCCGCCGCCGCGGCCGCGGCTCCGGCTCCGGCTCCGCGCTCACCGGCGCCGCCTATGCGTCCGCGTCGGCGTCGGCCTCCTCCCCGCCGTGCTCGTCATGGGAGGAGACCGTAGCGCAGTCGTCGTCGGCCCAGGCGCCGCGGCCGGCCCGCCGCGGGAGCCTCGCGCTGCTGCTGCGGCAGGAGGGCAGGGAGGCGGCGGCGCTAGCCGCGGGCCGCCGAGCGGAGCAGGAGCAGGAGCGGGAGGGGGAGGAGGAGAGGAAGGCGAAGAGGGGCAACTTCTGGACGCGGCTGCAGCAGCAGCTCCACCACGGTGGCTGGCACAAGAAAGACGGGTGCTCGGTGGCCGCAGAGAGGCAGAACGCCGCCGCGCCGCACAAGCGGGCGCCGGTGGTGTGATGCTCGATGCCTCGATCAGGGGGCGGCGATCATCGGAGACCATGCGGATCGTGGACGAGCGCGTCGAGGTGCTCGTCGGTTGTGTGCTGTTGCTGTGTTTACGCTGTTGATTACTAGCAATCTTTCGGTTTCTTTTTCTCAAAACAGAAATGCTATGTGACTGCTGCCGTGGAATGGATGGCCGGGTGGCGAAAGGCGGCCTAATGGCTCGCCCATTTTGTAAACATCACTAAATGAAATGAAGCTTGCACTTCGCTGTTGGCTCGTTCGCGTTACTCTGCTGCCATCATCTCTGATCAATCAAACTTATTGTTCACCTGTTTCACGCTTATGGTCCGTTATTAACTACTACTACTAGTCTTTCAAGCGAGTTGTTGTGCCGATACTCACAGGGATACGCATGGGTCAAGCCGGTAGGGAAGGCTCAGCCCATGAGACCATGCAGTTGTCGCGCCGCCAGTCGAGGCCCAGCGTGCAAGAGCAAATATGTTCCTAGAGAAAATATTTTAAAATCTAGACCTTTAACTCGACGCTATCGTTGCTGACATCAAGCTTACACGTCTCGACGTCAGCGTCCGTGGCGCCGAGTTCTTAGGCTCAAAGCCAACGTGGAGGTGACGTAGCAGGATGCTCGACGTCAATCACCCTAACGTCAAACTCAGTGCCGTAGCTCCTGACGCCGAGCTTGTGATTTAACTCTGGCCCCAACCTTCCTGCCCGAACCTTCTTCCTCCTCCCTCTCGGGTTTTTTCTCTCCCCACTTCGTCCTACCTCACGAATCGACATATTGGATCTTGGAAACTTTGATTTTATCCGTAGATCTTCAAGAGTAAGGTATCCTCGCTCTCCTCCTAGTTTTTTTCGCATCGATTCGGTATATATTAGTCGGATTTTTCAACCTAAGAATCGTCATTACTTAGGGTTTCATGCAATTTTTAATATTTGTATTAAACCTAATATGTTGTTGTGTTTTATGGGTTCATTGTTTTGCATAACATTGGAAACCCTAGGTTTAGGGTTTAGTATTATTTACTTTCGGTTCTTAAAACGAAATTGGTTGTATTATAGTTATGATTTTCATTGGCATTAACTTATGATGTTTTGATTTTTGTTTGTTAAATTACATCCGTTTTGTTAGATGCAATAAATGTATCGGGAGAAGTTTTGGCGAAAACGGGGTCGTCCTCGAGAATTATACCTCGACGCGTCTAGCAAAGATGCCCACATCCCTCCTAACCTCCTTGTCCCTAACTATGACTGTGGTTTCCCGACCCACGTGTTTCAATCGAAACATCCGGACACAGCGGCGCGTTGCTTCTACACATGCAGTCGTTTTAATGTAAGTAATTGTTTCCACTTTTTTTCTTTATTTGTGTAAGTATGCTACTAATATTTTGTTGGAATCTCGTTGCGTAGGACCATGAGAGGTGCTTTTTCTTTTAGTGGATCGACGGTGCAAACAAGTTTGACCCTAAATACCTCATTTTCGACGATTGGTTTAGAGGGAGACATCCACGTGAGCACTTCAAGCGGTGGGTTCCACCCCCCTAACCCCCCCGCCAATGACGACTAAGGAGAAGCACCTAGCCGCGGTTAGACGACTCGAGGAACCTCCTCTATGCGAATGCGGAGATCGAGCCGTGATAAACCCTGATAATACTTTGGAGTTTGTGTGTCCGAACAAACACGAAGTAAGTGAAAAGTGTATCTGTTTAAATGTTTAGCTCTATGTGTGCGTGTACTAATGTCACCTTATTTAGGTGTTTTCAATGACGAAGTATCGTTTCAAGGAGTGGTTGTATAGTCCTAAGAACCAATGGCCGGAAGAACCGCGAAAGGTTAAAAAAAGAAAAAAGAAAGGGTAATTTACAAAGCACCTCCTGTCATGTGTGAATGTGGTGTTAAATCCAACTATGGCCTAGTCCCTTCGGAGCTTGGAATAGGCCATTATTGCGGCCATATAGTTGACTATGACGAAGTTCGTTATTTTTGCGGTAAACATGAAATCGTATTTTGTTTGTTTTGCTAAGACATATATGATTTAATTTTTCGTTTGAACAAAGCACTAGGAAATGCTGGTGGGAATGTTATGATGGTCAAGCTAAGTTCTTGGATGAACTAAAGGAGAGGCAAGTAATTGCACGGAAGAGGGGATATGTACCTAACTACGTCAACCTATTCGTTCAATATCACAAAGAAAAGATGCGTGAGTTTGCTAGACAGCGCGGTATTTGTAACCCGATTAATGTTGGACTTGACAAATGGGGATTAGAGAGACGGATGATGTTAGAGGAGGAGAGAGCAAGGAAGGAGGCAAGGGAGGAGACAAGAGTATAGATGCAGGTCTTGAACGAGCATGTTGTTGCATTATGTGCCAGTGAGTGCTTGAAAGCTTTTTTTTCGTTGCCTGATTTTAAATGTAATATAATCGCGTTGCTAACTGATTGCATTTTATACATGTAGGGATTGGATGCAGCGAGGAACATGCCACAGAGGTGACTCGTGCAAGGTATGAGGAAAAGAAGTTAGATGAGCACGGATCGCGAGCTGGTCGCACCGTTCAATCATCGATTCTGTTGTCCGATGAGGGGGACGAGGATGAGGAGGACACTGGCAGACAGGCGGAGGTGGATGATGACGCGTTCTTCACTCAGGCCGCAGAGGCCACAAATGAAGCGGAGGCCGCTTACTACAGGCGACACGCATGTTAGAGCAATGCATGTGAGCCTAACCACAGCAACAAGGTTGTGATAGAGGACTGATACTCGGATGATGAGTTGCTTACTCAGTATGTTTCAGACTGAGGATTTGAAAGTGCATTTGCCCCCTATATGGGTTTTGGTGTATTGATGACATCCAAATTATGGACTAATGTGATCTTAATGAGATATGTCGCAGCTATTACTCAGTATGCACTCTCCAATGGTTTTATTTTTGTTTTTGAGTTTAGGATCTGCCACACTATAAAGAGGGATGCAAACTTAGTTGGTCTGAGGAAGATAGCGTGCTCAAGCATAAAAATAAAATCAAAAGAGAGACACTCTAGCACTCCACGAGCACGTAGAATATTTTTCAGTGACTGTTGGTGTTGGAAGTCCCGACGTAAGCCGGAACTCCCGACAGTCGGAAGTCACGACTCATGCCGGAAGTCCTCACGCCCAGTCACTTAGCCTGCGCAATGACTGTGGCCGTCGAAAGTCCTGACCCAAGTCTGTACGATACGATTTTACTATACAGGTTCTAATGAATTTACATTTAATCTGTGTACTAGATTTGTGTCTTTTCAACACACAAAACACATGAAATGGCATGTGAGATAATGTACCGAACTAGGGTACAGAGTTCCTTCGACTAAACCTAACATGCCTTAGGTAATTAAACCAAACAACAAACACGTAGATGTGGCATGTGAATAAGATAAAGTCGTCCTAATAGTGTGGCCACATAGCAAATTGTGTTGTACCTTCTCCACAGTAGCCTCCCATTGTTGGTGGTGGTGGTGGCAGGGGTGACGAGGGTGGCCCCTTGTTCTTGTGGTTAGGGCAGGTGCAATATGGATCATTGCAAAGTGCCTCCTGTGAATCGACACCACTATTGTTGTCGTCCTATCCGTCGTCCTTGTAACCACTGCTAACTTCTCTTTCTAGATCGAAGATACTGTCCTGCAGGTAGTAGATGTACTTCGCATGTGGATAAATAGGTCGAGGATTGACCCACCTAGTGAACCCATAGTTTTCTTCGGCCAAGGAAGACTGCAATAAGTATGTCATGTAAGTTGTACAGAAGAGGAATATATTGAAGAAACAAATACTAATAGCAATTACCCATGCTCGCGGACATTTGAAGAAACAACGACCTCCATCTATTCTCTCGGTGAACATCTGCACTAGGCAGTCCTCACCATGCATGCATTTTGGTCACTCTTCTTTCCGTTCATCGTATCCTCTCAGTGGTGCCTCTTTGGTGAAATTGCTTTTGCTCTCAACGGGGAACCTCTCATAAAGAGCTTCCTCAAAGAAATCGAAACCAAGAGGACCCTCCCACCAAATGGTTGTTCCCTTCCCCTTTCCTCTCCCTCTAGATGACCCTCCAGATATTGGTACTACAACAAAAGAAAATGCTGAGGAGTGCTCTTCTTCCTTGTCGTGTGTGTGAATGAGAGGGAGTGAGGGGTTATTTATAGGTTGAGAGGAAGAATGGAGGCCTCTCAATGTGCTATGTCAGCGATCCGTGTGCCTCTTCACCGTAGCCCTTGGATCAAACAGTCATAAGATGAATAGTGGAGATGGAGTGGAGTTGTGCTTCCTTGTGTGCCAGTACTATGTCAGTGAAGTGATAAATCGCTGCTGTCCTTGTAACTGAAAAGTCTATTTTCATTGTCTGGAAAACCTTTATTCGTTCACTGTTACTTGAAAAGCCTAGATTCATCTACAAAGCGTCTGTATGATACGATTGGACTGTACACGTTCTAATGAATTTACATTTAATCTGTGTACTATATTTGTGCCTTTTTAGTAGTGTAGAATGATTAATGATTCACGGAAAAAAATCACAAGAGTTTCCCTTGTTTCCGGAGCATCCACAATTACAAGCAGCGACATCATTATATAATCCAAATATTTAATTATCCAAAGAGCACAATGCAATCACAATCAACATAACATGTCCTGCACAGTCCAAATAGTCCACAATGTCCATACATTCCCAAATAGTTACAGGAAAGTAAATACAAAATCCATAATAGTGCATACTAACATCTACCACAAACCTCACAGTCTCCTACTCTTACCCTTACCCTTGTGACCGAGAGCGCTCGTACCTAGAGTGTAAGGGTTAGGTGGACGGCGTCGCCTGGTGCCTGGAGGCTGTGTAGGCTGAGTTGAGGGAGCGTCATGGAGCTAAGAGAGGCCAAGCTCCTCGTGCCTCTGGTCCACGTCGTCGTTGTCCTTGTCCTCGTCCTCGTCCCCTATAGCTGCTTGGCTAGAGAAACCTAAGCCTCCTCTGCCTATGGAAGGTACGTACACGTCTTGCATCGTGTCTGTCCTGCAACTACAATGAGCAGCCGCACGGTGTAGCCAATGTGATAGCCTCTGTTGTACAAAATTATGTC